CAGAAAATCACAAATTTACCAAAATATACCATCTCATTTTAAAAATATACCGTAGTCTTAAATCATATTCCTCGTTGTTGATGTTCTATTTGATTTTACTAGCTTGCAAAGACTTTTAACACTGAAAAAACAATTTTTTTGGATCGAAGAATTAATTTGGCTTATTATAAATACTCCTTTTTATTGGATTATAACTTATGACCTTATATTTTACATATTTGTATTTGAAGTTTTCATTCATAACACGCCCTCTGGAAGCAAGGGAGCTTTGTGTTCAGTATGTAAATGTATGTAACATGTAGAGGCACATGTATGTTAACTGATATTATTGAACAGTCGCGCATATCAGCTGCTCACCAACAGCTGTTTGCCCGAGAGAACTTTGCAACACTGAAAGCCATCACGTGAACTTCATGGTATTAGTGGTGTGAATTGTCACTTTTTTCGCGGCCAGTTTTCACCACAGACTCTTCTCCTGTGGCGGCGGTTAATTTGCGCTTGATTTAAGCAGATCTGATTTATAGAACGCACAAAAACTCCATCAGTGTCCGTCTATCTACCAGTTTGAGTGCAATAACCACTAAAAAGTAAGTGAATGTGAACGGCAGCAGCTTTTCCACGTCCGCGGGTGTGCGAAAAACTTGTGCAACGAAGCACTCGTGAAAAATTCTGTTATTTCATCGGCGCAGACCTGCTGACTATTGTCTGAAACGTAAATTGCAATATTGGCAGTTGTGCAAGTGAGAGTAAATCTTTTCCGATGCAGGCTGCTGCTACATATTTGTCGTGAAAATCAAGTGACCCTGAAAATTAGGCCTCCACAAGTTGTTCATCAATTTGCGTCGTTTTTCGGTGGCTCTGCTGGGGCCAAACATTTCCTGATGGATTGGGATATATCTGGAAATATGCAAGTAGCATCCGCGTGGGCGGAACAACAAGAAATATGTGGGAAATGTTTTGGTTTTTGTATTGAAAACTCGTGAGCAGAAAATTATCGATCGAAAAACTGTCATGTGACTGTCATACCAAACAGCTGACGACGATTTTAGTCACCACGACTGAGTGTCGCTGTGGTGACAAGAGCGAGAGAGCGCCGTACGCTCAGAGAGAGAATTGTTTTCTCTCTCTCTCTCTTTTGCGCTGGGTAAACAAAATGTTAAAAAAAAAACTGGCGCCTTGCTAAAATTTAAACAGTTTTGGGGGAATCTGAAATAAAGCACGTACTATTTTATGAATTTAATGGATTTCCGCTTAGAAAACTGCATGCCTGTGCCGAAAGTATCTACACTTTGTGAGTGGCACATGAAACGGATTAATATCCACATGCTTTTGTGTGTTTTCTCGGTTCCTTGGAACCACAATAAATAGTTATATTGCGCGCCGCAAGGACCTTGAGTGCGCTGGCCAGATATATGTAAACTTGAAACAAAAAGTCAAACATGCTGGTATTTGCGCCCCGGGACATTAAAACAGAAACAGAAACGCATGCGATGATAGATTGGGTAGGCGAATGACCAAGAACAGCTGCTAGATTCCAGCGTGTGTTTATCTGTGGCCTTATCCTCGTCACCATGCCACCACGCTTCCCACAGCCCATCCCCGTTCCAAATTCCGCGCTCAGCAAGGGTGCCAGGCACATTATTATTAATTAATTTGGGCAGTCGCCCCCACCAGGCGAGGATATTTGCGCCATCATCAAAAGTTATCGCCGTTGCCTTCGTCATCGAGTCGCTAACATTGCAATTTCCTCCCGTAGTGTCTGTGCGGACTACCCCAATGGCTGAAAGAGTCCTCTGGCGGCCCCTGGCCTCACCCTCTATTAGCAACAGCCGTTGGCCAGTCAGACTGTCTCCAGCGCGATGGCGACGCGCTGACTTGCCCCCACCTTGGGGGCTGTCAACATCATTTAGTTTCTGCGCCCCACGTCACCAGTACAGCATGGAAGCATAACTCTCACATCACCAACTCTCTCCACCTCAACCTGCTATAAATAGACCTGCATATGTGTAGCTACGATATCTGTTTCCCGTTTCCCCGATTGTCTGTTGCCAGGCTCGTTGTTGTTTCTGCTCGTCCTGTGCCTCTCTGTGCGATGAGGACAATGCACTGCCTTGACTGGAGAGGTATTCATGTTTACGTGTCAGGAGCAGGAGCATGAGCAGTAGGCGGAGCTCTGGCTGTGACTGGAGCAGGAGGCGCTGTTGTCATTCATTCCTTGTTCTCGTGTTTGTTTCGTGTCTCCCTTTGAAGGCCATCGGTGTCGTTATGTAATGATAGTGGGCCACTAGGCCGGAAATGGGCAAAAGTTAGATTTCTATCTATCTCGTGGCGTTTGCTGTGTGATTACTCATACGCCGTGTCGCCCACTAGGAGGAGCAGAGCAAGGAGTCGGCGACACTTACCCAAATTGAACACCCGCTTTGGTTTGACTATGGCTTGTGGCATGGGGGACCCTGCTTCGTCATCGATTCATTCGGCTTCTCGCTCGGCCAGTGTCGGCTCCCAGCATGGGCTTTCACCCATTGTTGGCGGCCAGGCAACGTTCACTTTGCTGCGGTTTCTCGACGAGTGTGCACGGCCATGTAGTCGCTGGGAAATCCGAAATACTTTTTAAGCGGAAGGAAAATGCCAAAAACTCTACACCGCCTTCAAGTGGAAAAGTTCAGGAGCAAGGAGTGCCGGGATCACAGCAAGTGTTTATTTTGTGTGTAAGCAATCGAAGTGTTCGGACAGACCGATAGACAGCCTGGCAGACTGCAATTGGCGCTGGCCTGTCTGGCGCCTTTGTTGGGTATTTGACTGCAAAGACTAATTCCGGGGAGGCTCCGAAAGTCATCCCCAAACGGTCGATCGCTTCGCAATTATTACAATTGCCACAACAGAGCCAGCCGCTTGGTGTTCGGCAAGGAAGGCCAGGAATAAATAAATAAATTGTGTGCTGCATTGAAGTTTCAAGGACATGCAATCGATTCAAGTTATACAATATATATTTGAACATCCTTTGTGGAGGGCGAGAAGGGGCAACCGTTTCCCAATCGATTTACTAATGTCGCTCTCTCTTTTCCTCTATTCACACAGCCATCAAAATGATGTCCGAATACTGGATTATCTCGGCTCCGGGCGAGAAGACCTGCGCCCAGACATTCGACACGATGAACAATCTGACCAGCAAGCAGCACAATCTCTGCAATAACTACAAGTTCCATATACCCGACCTGAAGGTGAGTGCTATTATCTTTGATAGGTTTGATATCCGCAGAACTAATTGATTTTAACTTGGGTAGGTGGGAACGTTGGACCAGCTGGTCGGCCTTTCCGATGATCTGGGAAAACTGGACTCGTATGTGGAGCAGATCACCCGCAAGGTGGCCGTCTACCTGGGTGAGGTGCTGGAGGATCAGCGTGACAAGCTGCACGAGAATCTGCAGGCCAACAACAGTAAGTCGTTTGTCCCACAAATAACTATCTGAATATGTTTATGTAATTATAGTGCTATGATTACATAGTTACGTAATTAGCTCACTCAGTCTAGACTAGTCTAGGCATTAGCTTAGTGCCGTTTAGTTTAGCATTTAGTTTAGTTAACGTGGTTAGGCGATGCCTGTTCCGAGTCACGAATATTGTTTTGGTTATTTAGCTCTAAGTTCTAAGCAGAAGTAGAACCGGAATGGAATGCTCTCTCTCTCCTTCTCTCTCTGATACTCTATAATCGTACAATATCTATTTAGTTTATTCCCGAAAATTCTACATTTTCTACTAACAAGTGAGATTTACAATTTTCCATTTGCGTCAACATTCCGACCTTTCGATTAAAAAGCTCTCCTCCTTATCCCCTAACTATGGAATGTTTTGATCTGTCTATCTCGTATGTCCCTGTTTTTAGGAATTCCAATTTGACTAACACAAAAATCAACTATATTTCATTCATATATTTCTATCCATATATATCTCTATAATATTTACGTTTTCTGTAGTTACAAATTAAAAGTGAAAAGAACCCCAACACGTAAAGAGAGACAGAAAACAGAAAAAGATTTAAAAACTAATCGAAATTCAGCTAAATAAAACCTTTAGGTTCTACTCTATCTAATTTGTTAGAGTTCGTTCTATACGCTATTTTATTTTTGGTTTTTCAACGTTTTTGTATGATTTTACTTTTAGATTTTAATTGATTTTTTATCGTTGTGTTTCTTATAATTTTTGGTTTGATTTTTGTTTAACTCATGAGCACAACCATCCACCACAAAAAAAGTAAATACGTAACGATAATCGATATAGGGCAATATAAATATATAGGACAAAACAACAATGGAATTAAAGTCTACCTTTGGCGGAGAGAAAGATTAAAGACACGCGTTCAACGCGTTTGATAAATGTAATGGAATGAGATACTTTGTTGTTTATTTTATGTTGCGTTTGTTGTACATTTTAATATCAATCTATAAATATCACTCACTCAAACATACACACACCAGGGAGACACACACACACAGAGATACAGAAATACAACAGACAAAAAACTACGACCTGTGTGTTCGGTCAGGTCACTCCGCTGAACGGCCAAGGCCGCACTCTTCCAAGGACCCCTCCCTACCCACACCTTATCACAAAATACACTTCTTACCAGAGTAGTACAGTGAACACTTGTACATCTATTTTACATACTAAATACATATGTACATATCTATATTGAATTGCTGTTAATTCTTTTATGATTTATGGAATACGATTGAGTCGGACAGCAATTATTTGTGGAAAGCCCATTAGTTTTTAAATCATTCACCCGAAAATTAAGTTACAGAAGAGGCAACTCACAGGAAGAGTATGTAATATTTAAAGATATATGTACATACAATAGATTCATATTCCGCATTTACTATATACATACATAGTACTATATCGTACGTACATACATATATTCGACTATAACATTTTTTGTTATTCTTTTATTTTGGACAAAATGCGCGAGTATCGTTCCCACTCCATTTCTCAGTTGATTCTTTTGTTTTTATCTATCGTATCGTGCTATCTATAGAGATAAATATATAAAGAAATGTACATACTATGTACCAATGTAAGTGCGTGCGTGTAAGAGTTGTGTAAGGTCATCCTTTGTACTGTACATAAATGTAAATCCCCCTATATTTGTAGACTGTTGTACCTGTTGTATCGTCTCATCGTCTTGTCTGTATGTATGTCAGAGTGTGACCGGTTTGTGTCGTGTAAGCTGTATCCTGAGTGTCTCATCCACATCGGTGCGCCCGGAAACGAAAGAGGCGTTCATTTACCATATTACATTTTTCATTTGTGATCCTTTGTGTCTATGTGGATGGGAGTGAGTGTGCCTGTGTGTTTGTGTCTGTGTTCATGCGCTTTTTCCCCATACCCACTGCAAACGCTATTCGGCCAGGAGCAGTCAGTCACAGATGGGAGACACCTGAAAAACATACGCTTTTACACTGTAACAAATCAAAAATCAACAAAAATTATATCACTAAAGTAGATGCACCCCTTTTTGTTGCCATGTTTTGATCTCACAGAGCTTTTTCGAATACATTTTGTTCCACTGTTGTTCATGAAATTAATCATTTAATATTGAATTTTTGATTGGATTCGCACCTCCACACACACACCCCCTCCGAAAACACTCGCACACCCAACCAACAACCCACATGAGTTGAAGTTATTTTTTTCTTACATTTTTCATGTATAATTTTTGTTTATTCTTTTTAAAAAATATTTCGAACAAAAAAAAGAGTTCTTTTGTTTTTGCTTTTGGTTGAGGAAGGAATCTGGAGTAGAGTCTGAGATTAGAGATCGTCGAGTGTTGAAGAAAGTATCTATCTACTCGTGCAAGCAGCTCGTAAGGATAGCCCCTAAACGTATGCTATAGTTTAACTTTTAATTTAATTTCGATATCCGAAAACCCAAAACCCCGAAACCCGAACCCAAAATCGATCCCAAACATACCCTAATGCAAGGAGCCATTAGCCAGCCATTCCCCTTAGCTAAGACTAAACCTCAAAAACCAAATCTAAATGCATTGTGTTATACTATTGTCTGTACCACCTTGAAATCGGTTAACCATCAAACGAATCGGCAAATACAAATCGAATATCCCCAAAAATATACCTGCATACAAACCTGCATCTCGACTCGAATCGAATTGAAATGAATTGTGAAACTGAAACCCTGATGGATACAGGCCCCGGTCCGCCCGACGACAGCATGCCGTGTCGACACCACCAGCGAATCAAGAATCTCAGCCTGCGACACCAGAGAAAACACCAGCACACGCACCACCAAAACAAACCCCAACACTACCATCTCCAACATCACCACCAGCTGCCCCAGGATATCAAGGGTAAATCAACCTCAACCACAACCAACCAACTCTCTCCAAGTCGCGACCCAAGCCAAGCTCCTTCCACTCCTACTCTTCCCTCTGCTGCTGCTGCTGCTGCTGCTGGCACTGCCACTGCCACTGTTCCTTTCGCCTGTACCACTACCACTACCACACCAGTCCCTGGATCCGGATCTGGCGGCAGCTTGAACAACCTCTCCACAACCCACGACGAGTCCGAGCGGGACTTTGACTTTGTGATACCGCCACAGACGGGCGGATGCCTGTGCGATGAGTGCGGCGTGTTCGCACCGCCCAGCACCAGTGCCACGGCCAGCACGCTGGTGGCCGACGAGTGCTACTCCCACACAGCCTCCTCCATGCTGAGTGCCACCCGCAGTGCCCTCTCCACGATGGCGGCCATTGCCACGGGCAGCAGCTTGACTGGTGGTAGCTCTGTCGGAGGAGCCAGCACGAGTGCGGCCGCTGCGGCTGCGCACGCGCATGGTCCCGGGCATGGGCACCCTCCCGCTGCAGCTGCTGCCTCCGCACCCGCCAAGAACAGCTCCGCATCGACCCTCTGCTCCTCGGCATACTTCTCCACGTCGGCGCCCACAACGAGCAGCTCGGTTCACAGCATGTCGCGCTCTAACAGCAAGAAGCTGAATAACAACACTTGCAGCATAAACCATAACAAGCTCAGCTTCCGCAGCGGCAGCCACGTGAGTCAATTGAACCTGCCGCAGCATCAGCACCTGAATCAAAGCCAGAATCATCAGAATCAACAGAATCAGCAGAGGCGAAATCTTTCATCCTCATCGCCGCTGCAGTCACCGACCCAGAAGTCGTGCGACTCGTCCGATCTGGATGCGGAAGTGGACGGTGACGGTGACACCACGGATGGTGACCCAAAAAGTCCGCACAGCGCCAGATCCTCCGATCTATCGGAAACCTTTGACTGGTGGTTCAATAAGCCCAAGCGTAACTCTAAAAAGAGCAGGTATCTAATCACCGCCTTAACTATTGTAGACCGTTGCCATTGAAAGCAAATCGCAAGCACTCAAAAGACTCAAATCAGTAAATGCCAGTCACCCGCAGTCATCCCGCTACGCCACTCCACGTCATGCCCCCAAGTCGCTTCCCCCTTACACCATATGCCTGAACACTGAACACGCACGCGCACACACACCCACACGCACACCAAGACACGCTGTACAAAACACAAGCTACACAACACTGATCCGAAAGTGCAGTCACGTCTCAAACAGAGAGCATCCGCTTTGCCTGCTTCCATCATATATTACACAAGTGTACACGAAACAGAATACCGAACAGAAAAACCCATAAATGTTTGATTTGATTAAGTGGAATGAACAAAATCCAATGCAATAATAATGTATTTCTTTTTTAAATCACTTCTTATCATCGGTCATCCCATTGCCACCAACACGAATATCATAAATCACGAACACAAAACCAATACGATGCACCACACTGAAAATCACCCCCCAACACTTGAATGACAGTGCACACCAAAGCGAACACCAACAACCACAACAGCAACCACAACCACAACAACAACAGCAACACCAACACCCACAACAACAACAACAACAACAGCAATCCAAAGCAATGACATTTTGGCATCAAGCATCGACCACACCGCGCTCTAGTTATCGCTCTTTCTTCAATTCTCTTGCCGATCAAATTTATAGCAAACGTTCTACATCGAGTCAATTAAATATAAACAATGGATTTAATTTAACACCAACACATAGATCGTCTCCAGTGAGTAGTTGTTGTGGCAGTAGTAGCCAGGGGCGATCCAGTCCGGACACGGATATTCCAGAGCCGCCAGAGTTTCCGCTGAGTCCAGGTTAGCATGCCGCCTTGGGTGTTTCGACCATGTTCGTACACCTTTTGCCTTGACATTGACAAGACACATGTAAATGGAAATGTTAATGTTAATGTGGATGTGTTGCTCTACCCTTTGATTTCTCTTCTTGTTTTTTTTACCATTCTTTTTACCTTCTTCTTTTCCATTATTCGTTTTATTGAGCAACTTGATGTAACCTCCACCCAAACACCAACCACCATCTCCTCTCTCACGTTACTTGACGTCTTCTTATCCGATCAAAATATTACATAAATATATGTATGTGCAAATATATTAAATAAATAAGATCAAACAAGACGAATATCTGTTCTATCTTTTAGTTGAATCGTTGCATCTGTTTCTACGGTATACACCTGCCGCCTACAGTGCGGCTCTCTTTTGTTTAATTTTCTTTTATCTTTCTCTCCTCTCACTCTCAACTTCTCTCTCTCTCTCTCTCTGTCTCTGTGGTAATCGTATTGTTGAGTTTGCGATTGCGCTTTCCCTTTTGATTTCCTTTGAATATACATACATAAATATAAATACACATAATATATATCCACTCATCACCAATCTTCGATTATTTGTACCAGTGTAAAAGCGAATACTATGTTGTTCGTTCAGTGTATGCTCTCCCCAAGCAGTGTTGTTGTCGCTGATCCACATCATAGCCACGGTTAATGCTCCGGCTCCCATTAAGCTAATGCCATCAAAATCACCCAGACCCTTGAAGTCGCTTATGCCCAAGCCAAACAAAAAATGTTGAGAATTCTTAATTCAAATGTTGTCTCACGCTTTCGTTTTGCATTTTTATTTGCCCGTTGAGTGTCTAACTATAATAGATATGTACATATATCTTTAATTTGTTATTACTTATCACAATCCAATTCTAACATTCAGCTAACTTTTTTGTGCAGTGTTGAGCGTGTAATCCGAAAGGTACTTCTTCCAAATGTGACTAATATGCGTAGTCCCAGTACACGTAGAATCTGTAAATCGTTATTGCATCCAAAGTTGTTTTTAATTTCGTTGTGGTGTCTCCGTTAAATTAAACACTAATGTGTGTGTGTCTGTAGTGTGTATGTATGTCTGTTTGTGCGTTTTATCTGAATAATTATATAATTCTAACAAGAAACTTTTCATTTATTTTAATTTAATTACGTTTAAAACTTTAATTTAAAATAGCTTTCGAGCGTAACTCTATACACTTTTAGTATGATTACGATATATATATTTTTACCCTTCCGTTTTGTACTTGAACATTGATTGAGCAATGACCTACATACATATATGTATGGCTCTGCTATTCCTGTTAAGTGAACCGAGTATCCATCCAACAACATACTGATTCAGAACCCGACTAACTCTCTGCCATTTTTCCCCTTAACACAGCCGAGTTGCCGCAGTATTTGACCCGTTTCCAATGGGACATGGCCAAGTATCCGATCAAGCAGTCGCTGCGCAACATTGCCGATATCATTTCCAAGCAGATCGGCCAGATCGATGGCGACCTCAAGACCAAGTCCCAGGCCTACAACAACCTCAAGGGCAATCTCCAAAACCTGGAAAAGAAGAAGACGTGAGTGCCATCGAGTGTGCAGTCAATCTGTAGACAGACTAACCCTCTTCCATTATATCTATACCTTTCACAGTGGCAGCTTGCTGACCAGGAACTTGGCTGATTTGGTCAAGAAGGAGCACTTCATTCTGGATTCGGAATACCTGACCACCCTGCTGGTCATTGTGCCCAAGTGAGTTGACCGAGTGTTATTCCCGATGTTCAGTTGATATAATTCTAAACCTTCAATAGAGTCCTAACCAACGACTGGCATGCCAATTACGAGAAGATCACGGACATGATCGTGCCACGCTCAACTCAGCTCATCCAGGAGGACAGCGACTACTGCCTCTTTAATGTGACGCTCTTCAAGAAGGTCACCGAGGAGTTCAAGCTGCATGCCCGCGAGCGCAAGTTTATTGTGCGCGACTTTGTCTACAATGAGGAGGAGCTGGCCGCTGGCAAGAACGAGATGACCAAGCTGATGACGGACAAGAAGAAGCAGTTTGTATGTTATCCCTTGACCACGTATCCGCCCGTTGCAATGTACTAATCATGCTCCAATATACTTCACCAGGGACCCCTTGTGCGTTGGTTGAAGGTGAACTTCAGCGAGGCCTTCTGTGCCCTCATTCACGTGAAGGCGCTGCGTGTCTTTGTGGAATCTGTGCTGAGGTACGGCCATCATCATATCCAACAAGTTCTGGACACTAAGTATATAATTATCTTATAACTCCGATAGATACGGGCTGCCTGTCAACTTCCAGGCCATACTGATCGAGCCCAACAAGAAGAGCGTGAAGCGTTTGCGTGATGTGCTCAACCAGCTGTACGGACATCTGGATGGTGCCTCGGCTGGCGGTCAAGTCAGCAGTGCTGATGTGGGTTACCCATTATAATCGATTTAATTCGTTTAAATGTATACATTTTCTTTTTCTCTTTTGTTTCCAGAATGTGGATATTCCCGGCCTGGGCTTTGGCCAATCTGAATACTTTCCCTATGTGTTCTACAAGGTCAATATCGACATGGTGGAGCAGAGCAAAGTTTAGGTTGTGACGCCTGTCACACCCACCCATCCAGCCCACAAATTACATAATACACACACACACAACCAAGCAAATATACTACTATTGAAATCCATCGGCTGAACCCAAGCATTCGCAGTTGCTTTGGCAAAATTATACAGAACCACAAGCAGAAATGAAATGAAAAGAAAGAAAATAGTTAAATTTAAATAATTTTAGTCATTGTTATATAATTATTGTTGTTATTTATGTTTGCGCGTTGTCAGAATTCTGTTTCAAATTAACTTCCGGCAAGAGAAATCACAAGGCGCGCGTCAGCAATCAAACAAAACTAAGCAAAACGAACGTTTACAGTCATCCCAGATCTTGTAGGAGCTTCTGTTTGTATCCCCGTATTCCCCGTGTCCAATTTCAGTTTGAAAATAACCAGTATTTTATGTTGTTCTTCTAATGAATGAAGTGAATGTTTAACAGGTAGCTGAAGCCCAGGAGTTTCCGTGTCCTTTTTTTGTGTTTTGGTAGCAATCCAATAAACATTTCAGTTACATTTTGTTTTAAACCGCCTTTTGTCTCGTTTCATGCTTCTGCTCTGCATCGGTATTTGTATAAGTATCTGTATCTGTGTCTGTGACTAACAAAAAGCAATCCAACAACAGCCAACTAAAATTCAGCATGCCCCAAAATTAATGTAAGCTGGAAAACAAGGGGTTCCGTGGGAGCCTACACTTACCCAAAGCAAACAATTAACTAACGAAAGTATTGTATTTATATAAATGTTTGCGCAATAACTATGCGCGCATGTTTCAACACTAATCGCAATGAGGATCAGGATCAATCGCCCACAGCCAGACAGTTTTTGTGGCTCTGCTTATTGTTTTGTCTCTACCACTACCACAACTATTATTTTATTTATGCAAACACTATTCCTGAGTGTGCTGAGTGTGTTAACTTCCCCCTAACCACCGCCAGTTGAGAGCCAGAATAAGGATCAGATCGGGGGATGGCATCGGGCGAAATGAACAATAATATTTGTACGAGTAATGTATTTTTTTTTTCTTCAGTTTTTCCCATTGTTGGGCCGCAGGTTGCGTGTACCAATTTAAGCAAATCGTGAGAGAGATACAGTATCTATATATAAATATTTTAAAACTATGCCTAATAAGTGTATACAAAACAGAAAACAGAAACTATGTAATTGTCATTGCGTTATATAAGGTGCAATTAAGCCATCCTTGTAAATAATTATAAAGAAAGAAAGACATTCCCAACTTTGTTTAGTTATCAATTGATTGCATCGGTCTACAGAGTCTCTACGGTTTGCTCTGTTTATTATTCTTTACGATCCTTTTAACTTAGGTTAGGTTTTAGCTTATACAGCTGGCTGGGTTGGGTTCCTTTCCGTTTGCTCAATAACCCGACACACACTTTGAGCGGTTTACAGTTCGGTTGCGATACCGTTGTGTGGGATCCCCATCCGAATGCTCCAAGAAAATGTTTCCTTTAACTTCATGCACAAATTTCCATTCAAATCTCCTGTTTGGTCTTGCTCTGCGAAGAGGCATTTCGTGAGATTTTGAGAATATTCGGAGGCTTCGGCTGGTTTTTGTCCGCCTCGTACTGGGCTCGGTGCAGCCGTTGACGATGCTTGTACATGTTGGCGCTGCAGAAGAACGTCATTGGACAGTTCGGGCAGGTGTAGAGTACTTCGCCCGTGTGCGTGGACGTGTGTTCCTACAAACCAGATCAAATATAGATATTAAAACGCTGGAGTGGATCTTTTCAACACTCACCTTCAGTTCTTGCGGACGCTTAAATGCCTTCTCGCACATGGTGCATTTGAATTTGCGTTCGCACTCGTGATTGTGATAGATGTGACGACGAAGCGCTCGAGCATTGGGCGAGACCTTGGAGCAGATGTGGCACCGGTGCTCGCCGGCGCTCTCCACATGAATGCTCTTCATGTGCTGCTTTAGGCCAGTCATGCCCTTGAGCCAGGCACCGCAGATCTGGCATTGCTTTAGCTCCGGCTCTGGCCGCGGCTTGTCCGAGTGCATGAGCTCCTGGTGCTTCTTGAGTATGATTTTTGTGCGCATCTGCTTGCCGCACTTGTCGCAGATGATGGTGCTTTCTGGATCATGCATTGAGCTCATATGGTTCTTGAGTTTTCGCTCGGTAAGGAATCTATTGGGAAGCAGTCATGGTTTATTAAAGATACTACGGAAAACCTCAAGTTTACTCACTTTTTGTTACAATCGGTACACGTAAATTTGAATTCGGACTTCGGGACGTGCTTATTTAGCTTGTGATAGTCAATGGCTGTCTTGCTGAGGAAGACCTTAGAGCAGAGATCGCACTCAAACGTCAGCTTGATGGCCGGATCCAGGTGGACCTGTTGATGCGACTCCAGGTGCCGTGAGTTCTGGAATGACTTTTCGCAGATGGTGCACTTGAAGTGCTCCGGGTTCCAGTGGACCTGCACATGTTCCGCGAGCACTTTGCGCTGGCTAAATTTGCGGCCACAGCACATAACGTAGCCGGGATCAACCTGGTGGGTGAGACGGTGATGTCGCTGCATGTC